TATGGGGGGTTATTAGAGGGTTTAATAAATAAGAATAAAGCTAGGAGTATCTTTTCATCCTGTTTAGAGTGGAGTAGGTGACTACCTTAGACGGCAGACGTTTATTCTAGCCAAACAAGTACTCATTGCTGGGAACATTCTTCCCTGGGGACCGGGGTCTAACTACTTCCACTATTTTAAGAACTCCTGTGATTTTTTACTATTGGCCCTTAACCATCTGCCCCCCATAATAGTCAGGATAGGCCAGTTGGCTGCTCAGGACCCTCATGGAAGAGGTATTGTTCTCTCACTCTCCATATAATTTAAAACATTTCCTTCGTGTCATCAACATTGAAAATGTAATATCATTCAAATTTTAAACATCAATATAATTCTAATATACCAGGGGCGGAGGCTATAGTCAGGGATGAAACTGAGGCTGAAACTCAGGAAGTTGTAAACTGACTCAGTAGGCCAGGATGTAGATGACAGTAAACTAGAAAGTGTACCAGACAGCACTGGCAGCTCGATAGGTACAGACACTACGACGGTTCCCGATAGAGCAATTCAGAACAGAAGGACAGACTTCTGCAAATTTTATGCAAAGGGCATATGCAGACATAGATATGCGGGTAATAAGAAAGGATTAGAATGCAGTTACCAACATCCCAAAAAATGTTTAAATATGCTTAGGCAAGGTGAGTGTCGATTTGGATCAATATGTAGGTTTTTCCATCCTGACATGTGCCAAACCTCACTGGAGGACAGAAAATGCTATGACCTCAGCTGCCCACACTTTCACGTGAAAGGCACGGAACGCTACATAAAGAGTGGCAAGCAGGATAATGAATTTGGAGGAAAGTCTATAAATTTTTTATACCAGACCGAAAGAGAATTCAAAAGGAGGAGCATGGAGAGTGTATGGAACTGGATGCCAGATCCACTTGCATTCCAGAATTACAGATACAATTACACACCGAAAGGGAACTACAACTACGACAGGCAACTGCCCTACAACAATCAGTACTGGTCAGAACAAACTCATTTTGTCCATAATGTCCATTTTGTCCATTTTGTCCTCCTCACGGAGTCAAGTGCAGTATTTGGAGCTTTCACAGAAACCCATTTAGGGGAATTGTTGGACAGTGAGATCTGGATTCCAGGATATAACCTATACAGGTGTGATAGGAAAATTAGGTCACATGGAGGAGTGGGTCTGTATATTAGGGAAGACCTTGTATGTTCGGAGCTCCAAACGTTACAAATGAGGTGGTAGAGGTACTGGGATTAAAAATAGAGAAAATAAATTTAGATATTATTCTAATATACAAACCGCCAGATGCAACGGCTGAGTAATTCACAGAACAGATAAACAAAATAGAGAATAGCCTTGATAATTTGGAGAACCCGATACCTGATATTATCTTCCTAGGTGACTTCAACTTGCCTAGTCTGAGGTGGAGAATAGCAAACAATAATATTATACCTGGAAATCTATCAACCCGTTCTCGCAAATTTAATAAGTCAATATTGACTTATTAGTTGCGTGCATAGGTGACATACTAAACATAATAGTTTCCCTTGAAAAGCTTCATAGAAAACACCGACCCTACCTAACCTACTTAGTATGTTAAAATAAGCATCTTATAGCTTCGTAATTACAATTGTTACTTAACCTATTATAGGTATAGGTTAGGTAATAATTGTAATTACGAAGCAATAAGATGCTTATTTTAACATACTAAGTAGGTTAGGTAAGATCGGTGTTTTCTATGAAGCTTTTCAAGGGAAACTATTATGTTAAGTATGTCACCTATGCACATATTTAATAAGTCAATATTGACTTATTAAATTTGCGAGAACGGGTTGAAATCTATCGGGACCTAACCAACCACAGATTAGAGAACTACTTTGATTCTGTGACAAATTTTCACTCAATCAGCAGATATCGGAGCCAACAATAAATGAAAATATTCTAGATCTGGTCTTTACGAACAATGAAGACATTATCAGAGACATTACGATATCAGATACCACATACTCAGATCACAAGCTCATTGAAGTGCAAACGACCATCAATACTCAGAATAGACCTAAAACGTTGATAAAGCGAGAGGGGCTATTCAGTAAATTCAATTTTAATAATAAAAAGATAGACTAGGAGATAATAAACAGGGAACTTACAAACATTCCATGGGAAACTGTTCTAAGTAATACAAGTCCTACAGAAGGAATAGAAAAACTGACTTCAGAAGCGTATCAAGTCTGTCTGAAACATGTTCCTTTGAGGAAAGCCAGAAAGAGATCTAACGTAGAAAGAGAACGCAGACGACACTATAAACGCAGGAAAAAAATAACGGAACTGCTTATGCAGACACGAATTTCCCGTCAAAGAAGGAATAATTTAAATAGGGAGATTGAAGAAATAGAGCGGAAATTGAAACACTCATATGAAACTGAAGAAAGGCAGTTAGAACAGAAAGCAATTCAGGAAATAAAGAAAAATCCAAAATATTTCTTCTCATATGCCAAATCAAAAGCAAAAACCACTGCCAGTATTGGACCTATTCATACAAGTGAAGGTTCATACACGGAGGATGACAAAGAAATTAGTGAAATCCTAAAAAAGCAGTATGAGGACATGTTTAGCACTCCAATAAACAACATGAAAGTGGAAGAACCAGACAATTTCTTCATGCGGATATTCAAACCCCTGTAAATATAACTGATATCAACACAAGCGCACTAAATTTTGAAAGAGAAATTTAAAACATGCCCATGCACTCGGCCCCAGGTCCAGACTCATGGAATTCAATATTTATAAAGAAATGCAAAATGCCGGTAGCACAGGCACTCAGTATAGTGTGGAGGAAGAGCTTGGACACGGGGGAGATACCAGATGCACTTAAAGTAGCAGACATAGCCCCTCTACACAAAGGAGGGAGCAAAGCATTGGCTAAGAATTATAGACAAGTTGCACTAACATCGCACATCATAAAAATATTTGAGAGAGTGATTAGGAGTCAGGTCACCAATTTCATGGAGACCAATGACCTTCACAACCCAGGCCAACATGGATTTCGAGCGGGAAGATCGTGCCTCTCACAGCTACTAGAGCACTACGACAAAGTCACTGAGGCATTAGAAGAAAAACAGAATGCTGATGTGATATACACGGCCTTCACAAAGGCTTTCGATAAATGTGACCATGGCGTGATAGCACACAAAATGAAGTCAATGGGAATAACCGGTAAAGTAGGACGCTGGATATTCGGTTTTCTGTCAAACAGGACTCAGCGAGTAACGGTCAACCATATAAAATCTAGTCCAAGTGCAGTTAAAAGCTCTGTACCTCAGGGTACAGTCGTTGCACCGATGCTTTTCCTTATTCTCATATCAGATATAGACAAAAATACAAGTCACAGCTTCGTATCATCCTTTGCAGATGACACAAAAATCAGTATGAAAATTACCTCGGCTGAAGACATTGAAAAACTTCAAGCTGATATTAATAAAGTTTTCGACTGGGCATCAGAAAATAACATGATGTTTAACAGTGATAAATTCCAGGTACTCAGGTACGGTAAAAATGAGGACCTTAAACATAATACAGAGTACAAAACACAATCAAATGTACCCATAGTAGGAAAACAGCATGTAAAGGATTAGGGAATATTAATGTCTGACGACCTAACGTTTAAGGAGCATAACCAAGCAAATATTGCGACAGCCAGAAAAATGATAGGATGGATTACGAGAATCCATCACAATGGTTGTACTCTTCAAGTCACTTGTGTTGTCCCGTCTTGAGTACTGCTCAGTACTCACTTCCCCCTTCAGAGCAGGAGAGATTGCTGAAATAGAGGGAATACAGAGAACATATACGGCACGCATAGACGCAATAAAGCACCTAAATTATTGGGATCGTCTCAAAGCCCTCCAAATGTACTCACTAGAAAGAAGACGAGAGAGAGATATCAAATAATTTACACCTGGAAGATACTGGAGGGCCAAGTACCAAATCTACACAGTAAAATAACAACGTACTGGAGTGAACGATATGGAAGAAAATGCAGAATAGAACCAGTGAAGAGCAGAGGTGCCATAGGCACAATCAGAGAACACTGTATAAACATCAGGGGTCCGCGGTTGTTCAACGTCCTCCCAGCAAGCATAAGAAATATTGCCGGAACATCCGTGGACATCTTCAAGAGGAAACTAGATTTATTCCTCCAAGGAGTGCCGGACCAACCGGGCTGTGGTGGGTATGTGGGCCTGCGGGCCGCTCCAAGCAACAGCCTAGTGGACCAAACTCTCACAAGTCAAGCCTGGCCTCGGGCCGGGCTTGGGGAGTAGAAGAACTCCCAGAACCCCATCAACCAGGTATCAACCAGGTAATATATTTGACATTTAAAAATATAATTTACTGGTATAAAATAGTATTTATATTTGTATAAACATCTATATAAATGCATATTGAAACATATAGATAAATCAAACATAAACCAGAAAATAGAACGAAGCAACTATTTGATCAACTGAAATTGTTTGAAACATTTACTGTCATTCAGTCATAAGATAACATCATTACTATTATCAACAATAAAAAGCTTCTTGGTGCACGTTGCCTAGTAAGCTAAGTATAATGTTTAATGTTAGAAAACATGACGTATTGTGGAACATAATATTTGCTACATAAATATTATTCAAACACTTATATATTTTCCAATATTATTCTTAACATATTTTGTCCACATTCCATAGATTATAAATTGGTAATGCATAACGATTCCACCAGTCAGTAGTGTTACTAACACATTTATATATATAAAATTAGACTGGAATGTATGGATGAGACTGAACACAACCTGGACATGGTCTGTAGGATACAGGGGGACATAGTTGGGTTTCACGTATACCAAAGACCTATAACCTACTTTTCCTAATATGATTTTTTTTTCAGATTAATTCTATTAGCATTTAAGTAATGATCTTTATGTTATAGACAAATTGTACTGTACCTGCGGCAATGTCTATCACTCGGACATGTTGACGGCGGTCCTCTGGGACCTTCTGAGCCACGTAGTCAGCAGCGATCACGTGCCCTCTATAATGCGTACAGTCTATAATCTGGCGAGGACAAGAATATCACCTTTCAGAGATGCTTCACAGTTATTATTATACCTATAAATAATTGATCAAAAATATCTTGTATGATAGGTAAAAACACAAAATACTAATATAGAACATTATATTTTAACAGGCAACGTGTAGCAAGAAGCTCAAACACAAAATATCTCAATATATATATATATTGAGATATATTGCTTTGATGTGTTAAGCTGTTGCTAGTGTTTATAGATTATTAACACCCTGACAACCCGTTATTTATTAGGAGGAACTCTTGTAATCATTTACTTGTTCTGTGTTAATTTGTATTGTATTATTTTCAAACCCTTGTGGATGCACTTTAAGTTCTATCCCTTTTCGATGCACTTGAAGTTCTAACCCATTGTGGGAAATTTATCCACTATATCTATATTATTATCTAAGAAATGTAATATTTCTATAACATATCTAAATCATATTAAATCATATCAGAATTATATCAGAATCACTACAGATTCATTATATCCTACATCTGGATTCTACATGACAATGCCACCTATGATCACGTATACCAAAGGGCCCTTGATGTCTACATGACTTTGAGCATGATTTCTCAAGGATTTAGAAGTTTCGAGACGAATATCTTAATTAACAAACTGTTGGAGCATCAATTGATTGTTTAATGATGTTGGAACATCAATTAAGGATTAAATCAAATCCTTAATAAGAATCAATAGTGCTATTAAGTACTACTTATAATATTTAAATCTTATATCTAATTATATTATAATCTCATTTTATCTCAATCTTATGTCTAGACAGTAAAAATAATCAATATTGATTGAAAGCTACCTCGCTCAGGGAGCATGGGGGAATGATACCACCACACCTATCTTATCTTACTGTAAACACAATCAAGGACATAATCAATTAGCAACGCTACTAGAATATTAAACAGAAAAGCTGTGACATAAATATAGTGCCTAAGCCCTACAGAGATCCAGTCTGGCAACTTGTCAGACGTCACCCGACACTCAGACATAATTATATTGATTGTTAATGCTGCGTGTTGATTGGCCAATTGCATGCCTGTATGACTTTGATATATCCAATAAGTCTGTTTGTCGTTATAGGGCAGGACGATGTTCCATATATCAATAAGTTTTAATCAATCTGTCAGCAACTGAACTTTCTCAATTTATCTAGACACTCATGAGGTATACAACCTCAGTCATTGTATCTTGACACAACATCAGTCATTGAAAGTCAAGCTCAACTGAAACTCTTCAATATAAATTGAATATATCTGTATATAATTGATCATATGCATTAAGTTAACAATTGCTTACTTAGTTATCTTTAACTTATCATGTAAGTTTATCATTTTGAATATAATCTTTTGTACTTAGTTAACAGTACTTGAACCACATTTAAGGCCAATTGATTGTATATTCATATATATCATACCTCTATAGTACATATTGTTGTATTTATTAGTATGTAAATATTGGCTGTTGTAGTTATGGTGCTGAATTGGACTGTGTACATGTTTAGATCCTTGATTTAAACAGAACCTGTGTTCAGTTATAGAACTGAGTTTATTAAATCTTAACCTTGTATTAACAATACAAGCTGACTTGTCGAATTGGCTACAGGTGGATTGTGGATCTTCAGTCAACTTCTCCATTCAGCCCTAGGGACCTCACCTGCCCCTTACAGCCCAGTCTGTCATTAAGAAAGAGGCGCTAGGATTTACAATGCTAGCTAGGGACTTTAACTGAATTAATTTTGAATACAGTAATTTGTAATATAGTACAGTACAAGTCCCTAGTAGTTCTTATAAATTAACTAACATTAACAAACCACCTCTTGAGTCAAGGGAGTTAAGCTTTAGGCTGTACAATGAAACTGCTATAAACAATTTTATAACTGCTGCTGATAATGTCAACTGGGAGTCCGAGTTAGGTAACATAGGGGACATCAACCTAGCAGTACAATCTTTTCTTCAAACAACTCTTAGCCTTTATAACACCCACTGTTCTATGCTTACAAAACAAGTCACATACAAAAGGCTTAACAATCCTTGGCTTACAAAGGGAATACTTAAATCCATTAATAAAAAACATGACCTTGAGAAGAAGTATAGGCTAGGAACCGTCTCCAAAGAATTCTCAAAGAATTACTCGTTATTGGTATCTAAAATAATTAGACGAGTGTTACGGACCCGAGCCCAGCGTCCGAACCCGGAGCAGTGACGACCACGCCATCTGTGAGTCAGCTCCCGAAACCCCCTCCAAATGGACGACGCCATTTAGTGAGGACGAGATATACCGGCCACAAGGGCTGGTTTCCCGTCCTGATTAGCTCGTAAAGTAGCCGCTGCTGACCTCTGGTGAGGTGACGCTTAGACAGCAACGCCATCTATGGAGTGGATAGGTGGGCGTTTGTGTCTAAGCCTGTAAGTGAGGTGCCCTAGAGTGTAACCAGTACTGATGACGTATCTGATTACAGAGTCGACCTGGGACTGCTGAATCGGATGGTGGATCAGTCTACCTAAGGCAGCCGTAGAATCTCCACGCATTTGCTGCCGAAGCTGTGAGTCACCCCCCGGATGAACACTACTGTGTTAGCCTGCCTGTGAGGTGGCAAAACCAGGAATTGTCGTACCCGGGGCTGACTGGTGGAGAAGACTAGCCACTGGGGTGTTGTGGTGAGTAGAGTGATCTGTGGAATCACACGAGGCTCCTGCCTAGGGCTCGCAACCCTAGTATTGGTCGTGGAGTGGTCTACGCAGCGTAGCTGATTGGAACCTGCCAGCTACAGGCTGTATTTGTGGTTGAAGGCCTCCACGACGGTGCCCCCAGTGGAACTGTGATTTGGCCGGCATGTGGCCGGGGTAGACTCGCTAGGAGACTCTAAGGATTCGTCGAGAGGCCACGAGAAGATGATCACGGGCTAAAGCATCGTTGATCACCTTGGAGCATCCTGTGTCTTCGAAGAAGAAGTTATTGTAAAAAAGTGTAGTAATAGCAACCCCCCTTGTGACGATTTATATAATTATTTATTGGTGATGGAATAATTATATATTTAAGTTTAAGTGGTTTCCCTTCCCCTTTAATTTACTTGCGTTACGGAGCACACCCCTTGAAAGCCACTACTAGCTTGGGGCCGGATACCCTAACTCTACTAACATCAGAGAAAGAACCCAGTTGCGACCCCAGAGGGCCGTAACAACGAGCCAAAACTAAATACTATGAAGATAAATTTACCCAAATAAAGAGCAACATTAAAATAACTTGGAGCACAATTTCACAAATATTGGGATCAAAGAAGATTTTAAATAACAAACCAACACTCCTGTCCAATAACGTTGGTCAGCTTTCAGCCTCTGATTCTGCTATTGAGTTCAATAGGTTCTTCTCTTCCATTGGGTCATCCATTGCAAATGATATTTCATCTTCCAGTACTGATGTTAAGGACTATCTTACAGGTAACTATCCACAGTCTCTGTACCTAAAGCCTACTAATTCCACTGATGTCAATGAGATAATCCTTTCCCTTAAAACCAAGTCTAGTGCCCTCGAGGAGATACCAACTTTAATTTACAAAAAGGCTTCCAGATCTTTAGCCCCTGTTATTGCATTGCTCTTCAACAAGTCACTTGAATTCCAAACCTTTCCAGACATTCTAAAAAAAGCAAGAGTAACCCCTGTCCACAAATGTGGTGATCTCACAGATGTTAACAACTACAGACCTATATCAGTCCAGCCTAACTTGTCAAAAATATTTGAAAAACTAATCTACAAGCAGCTTTACTGTTTTCTAGCCAAACACAATATACTTACCTCTTGTCAATATGGCTTCAGACCCAAAAAAAGCACTAACGATGCACTTATTAGTATGATTAACTTGATTCACGCAGCTCTTGATAAAAAGGAGTTCCCTGTTGGGTTATTTGTGGACCTGCGTAAGGCTTTTGACACTGTCAACCACTAAAACCTTCTTCTTAAATTACATCATTATGGAGTCAGAGGACACTCCCTGCAATACCTCAAATCTTACCTTACTGACAGGCTCCAGTATGTTTCTGTGAATAATTCAATTTCTCCTACCCTACCCATCAACATTGGTGTTCCTCAGGGTAGCATACTTGGCCCTCTCCTCTTTCGCATCTACATTAATGACCTTCCAAATGCCTCCCAACACCTCAAACCAATTCTATTTGCTGACGACACAACCTTCATTTACTCCAGTCCTGACCCTCTTGCTCTAAATGCCACAGTAAATACTGAGCTAAATAAAGTTCATCTTTGGCTAACTGCCAACAAACTCACCCTTAACATTGACAAAACTTTCTATATTCTGTTTGGCAATAAATCCTCTAATCAAATAAATCTCAAAATAAACAATACCCAAATTTGTAACAAATTAGATGGCAAGTTCCTTGGCGTTCTCATTGACCACAAGCGGAATTTCCAGGGACACATTCTAAATATATCAAAAAAAGTTTCAAAAACTGTTGGCATTCTTTCTAAGATCAGATATTATGTACCCCACCCTGCCCTGGTGACTCTCTATTACTCCCTCATCTATCCATATCTCAACTATGGTATTTGTGCTTGGGGTTCTACTACCCAAAATCATTTACGTCCTCTAATTACTCAACACAAAGCTGCTATTAGGACAATATCCAACTCAAGCCCCAGACATCACTCGGTAACCCTACTCAAATCTCTGAATATGTTAGATGTTAAGTCACTGCACATTCTCTCATGTGTATTATACATATATAAAACGCTGAACTGTAATGCCAATCCTGACCTCAAAAGCTTCATTGAAGGTTGTAACAGAACCCATGAGCACCACACCAGAAATAAATACAGTTTTGATATTCCAAGAGTACGACTTAATCAAACTAGAAATGCTCTACAAATCAAGGGACCCAGAATGTGGAATGACCTTCCCAACCATGTTAAAGACTGTACCTCTCTCAACCAGTTTAAGATAAAAACGAAGCACTACCTAA